AATGTGCTCTTGGCTCGCTATGATGCCTACACTCTTCCATACTTTCCTTTTATCTATGAAACAAATTATCTTTTGAGGTCCTGTCAAGACATGGGGTGCTGCTTCCTCTAACGCAGTCCTCAGATTGTCTCATTTTTTTGGCTAAGAGAGGACCTGATAACAAATAATGGCATCTCAGAAAGCTAGGGTTTGTACCTTCAATGTGCTTTTGGCTCGCTATGATGTCTACATTCTTCCGTATTTTCCTTTTATCTATGTAGCAAATTCTCCTTTGTATATCAAAACCATGTGATAGGTTGCTTAGCTTTGTGTTGTTTATGTAAAAAAAATTCTTGAACATAGTTTTGGTAAGTTCAGTGGTCTATGATCATGAATTTGTCTAACTTTGATCATGAAAATGGCTCACATTCTTGAAAAATCAGTCCTATTCTGTAATATTAATAACTAGTAATATGGTATTATTACTTCTTTGTAGGCCAAACCAGAGACTCTGAACAAGGTGTGTGACATAGTGAAGAAGCAGTTGGCTTTACCCGAAGACACAGCTGTGACCCCAGGCTCAAAGTTTGCTGAACTTGGCGCTGATTCTCTTGACACAGTAATTCCCAACTATCTTTTGTTGCTTTCATTTTATACCAAGCCGATTAATATTGTAGCTTTCTGTAGTTTTTTCTTTTCTACAATGCAAGTTGAATTTTAAAATGACAGCGTTTTTACAGAGTGGATACAACAGGCCACAGTGTCCGATTTTCGTTTACATTTGAATATATATGGCTATTTTCTTCAGTGCATCTTCCACGAGGAGAAAACGACATGCATGTCACAAGAATGTGACTGATCATTCATTTCCCACATTGTTTTTATACAGGTTGAGATTGTGATGGGACTTGAGGAGGAGTTTGGCATCAGTGTGGAGGAAGAAAGTGCCCAGACCATCGCCACTGTTCAAGATGCAGCAGATCTGATTGAGAAACTCGTTGAGAAGAAGAGTACTTAATAGTTTAGAGAGAATCAGAAAAACCTATGGACCTTTTTCTTCCTTTAGTTTTTCTTTGTTTTTGTTTTTGTTTTGTACGAGCTTTATATTATGGTTTTGGTACTTTAATTATCTTCTGGATATTTTAGTGTTCTTAAATGTGATGATCTCAAGTGGTGTTTCTTATGTTCTGAATTTGTCTTTTTTATCTGATAAAGAACGAAACAAATACTGGAAAAATAGTTGTTAAGTTCTGAAAATTTTCTTACTCTACCTTCATTTATACTATTTGGATTAGTCTTTAAATACAGGTCATTCTATTTGAACTTCTAATAATATTGCCTCTTGAATAGAATATATATATATATATATATATTTATTTTTAATACACGCGATGATTGGGGAGGGGAAATAAAACCTAAGACCTCAAATGCAGGGATGATTGGGGAGGGGGAATTAAATCAAGGCCTCTGGGGGGAATCGAATCTAAGATCACTTATTGTTAGTTGTTATTTTTTGCCCACTTTCTCCGTTGGAAATTTTCAAGGGAGTTTCACTAAAACACTCAAAATGGAGGTTAAAATTATAAAAAAACCCAACACCCAAAACACTTTATAAACACACCCAAAACCCATCATTACACACACTCAAAACCCATTTATAAACACACCCAAAAAGTTGACTTTGGGGTTGATTTTGGGTGTGTTTCTATGTTTAAATAGTGCTTGGGTTTTTTTATAAATACATGTCTAGGATTGGGTTTATTTATAAATTTGTAAATTTTCAACTCTTGGTGTTTTCTATATACAAAAAAGAAAAATCTATTTGTGTTAGAATAAAATTTTGTGATCTACCCAAAGTTGGAATGTTTGAATAAAATTAATTGTCTATAGAATTAAACTTCAAGACTTGTAATTTTTTGCCCAACGTCCTATTATACGTTTTGTAAATAAACATTTCAAACGATGCCACAGGGACTAAATTAGATTTAGTTATGAAAAGCTATCTTCAATTATGCAAGTGGGACTGTGGGATGGTCGAATTATTGATTTTCTGCTAAATTTTGCCTAAGAAAGACTTAATTATGGATTTTAAATGAAAAAGAAGAAAAGGAAAACTTAATCATGGATCCTTGACCCAACTCCCAAGTTGAACATGTTCTTTGCTTCAATTTCTGTCTCACCCACTTTAGAAATACTTGTGGGGAACGGGATAACACTATTTTACTATTCTCAATCAATCAATCACAAACTGCTACGTGAAAAAATTATCATGTATAACGTGCCATGATTCATCGGAATAGCGTTTCACACACCGTTGACAAAAAAAAAAAAAGCAGTTTCTCCACCCACTTGGGCAGCGTCTGACAAACTAACTAGACATTCTTATTAAAATCGAGCCATCACTATTAGATAAAAAGAATCCTACAGGAGACTGCTATTAAAGATCAAGACAGCAGAAAACAGACAAATTAGATTACCTAAACCACCAATTTTATTTTAGCTTGATTGTACAACATGTGACTGGCTACTTATTGTATACTTTGGAGTCTCACATGCACTTGAAATAGAAGTAGCTTCAATTATTCGATCCAATTGAAAACCAGGTGCAACATCCTGAATTATTTCTTCTTGTATTTTTCCCTTGTGGGAGGCATCGGGCTTGAAGCACAAAATTCAGAGATCCCAAATAAACCCTCAAAACCAAGTAAACGAAAGACTTTAAGTGAATGGATTAATGTTCTTACAAGTCCGTTTGGTGTTCGTGACACTAAAGAGGAGAAAATTGAACATAATATCTCGGATATAATGATAAATATTCTTTAACCACTTACATAATCAATTACAAACTCTCTAACCTATGATGGAATTAGGACTATACTTATGTATATTAGATGGTATCACTCCATCCCATTTTGAGGTACTGACTACAAACAATGACAATTGAATCTCGTAGCCCAAAAAAGACTCACACCCTAATAAGCTGCATAGACCACATATGCGGCTGAACCTGCAAAAGCAGCCAGCTTTAAAGGCCAAATTAAGCTTACAGATGCTGCTGAGGAAGCTGGCAATGACCCAAATGGTGAGAGTGAAGAGTAGGGGCCAGGAGAAACCAAGTCGTCCGGATTCGGAGGGCTAGGGTTGGAGGGAATGGTGGGGATAGATGAATCAGTTGGAGTAGCAGGAACCACAGGACCAGGAGATGGCAAAAGTGGAGCTATTTCTGGAGGCAATCCTTGTAAAGAAGATGGAGGAAGATTGGTGATCAAGAATGCTGGTGAAGCTGAGATGCTAGATGAGGCAGAGGAGGCTTTTGAATGAAGGGAAAGCAGAGGTGAGGCCATGAAAGCCATAATGAGAAAAACTATATGGGACCAAAAAGAGGCCATTTCTAATGATGAAGATATCAAAGTTGGGAGAGCGGAGGGCTTATATATTTTGTGCAATCAAAGTTTTTACTAAAAGAGCAGAGTGAATGGGATTTTGTGTGTAGTCTTTTGGTGGAAGTTATGATTTGGGGTCTTTTAAAAGGATGACTAGACCAGGGTGGGGTCCATATGCCACGTGGGTAGTGAAATTTGGATGAATATGAGAAAATACAGGTTGGCATATTTAGGGAAGAGACAAAGATCAAAGATGGGTTAGCATCTTTTGCAATTGGAATCAGATGGTTTTGTTTTTAATTTTCCTTTTGGTCCGTGATCTTGCTGTTCCCTGATTTCTGATAATCCGGAAGCTCAAGTCCTCCTAATCAACTTGACTAGTTTCAATACTATAATCATTGATAATCAACCGTCATCAAATTAATCAATTTATTATTCAAGTGATTAATAACAATTATTCTTGTATAAGATCATGCTTTCGAATTCCCTAATAGCATTCGATCCACGAAAATTTGAATTTCATATGGATGGACGAAAATTTGAATTTCATATGGTGCGAACGTGTAGGTCCCATCAATCAATATTGCGATTTACTCAGAAACGTACAAGGCATGAGCATCCTAGAGTAGGAAAAGTTTGGAGAAATATCTATCATGGGAAGCGTTGATTGATGTTATGATTTGTAAATTGACTCCATTACCAATTATGAAAAAAAAAATCAGAAAATCAGATACAATAATGCATGCAACCAACCAAACAAATTAAATTTATTTTCTACCATTCTCTAGTCAATCCACAAACTTCCATAGTTCCAAAGCCATTTGCAGGGCCTGACAACAGAAACGTTTTGACGTCCATAGATTCCCTTCCCATTGGGGTCAATAAACAAGTGCAGTTATATATTGAATGTAAAAAATGAATAGAAATGTTGCAACATTGGACATTATTGACTCATGATGCAAAGATTTGCAATCATTATAGATTCTGGCATTACACATTTTTCCAACCGTAGATTAAAAAAGTCCGAGAGGTCAAGGACAACCTATACCCACCCCCAACCCCTCCCCCCAAAATCACGGGTCCATCAAGTGAAAAATTAGATTAAATAATAATAATAAAAATTTACCGACAAATGATGTCCTAACTCAAGGAATTTCACAGGATGGGATTGTCACACTATTCCAGCATGCATGAGCGGTGGATCCGAAGTTTTTTTTAAAAAAATTTAGGTAGATGGAATCAGAGTTTGGTCTCCATCCCAACCAAATCCATGGTTTTCTAGAATTTTTAAAAAAATCACAGTTTATCTATCTATATATATAAAGCAAAAGACACTGAACGGTGAAACATTCAAAATATCATAAAATGTCATTGGTTAATGCAAGCATTAAGAATTGAAATTATTAATTAAATGAGAATAATATGGTAAATTCACACTTTTCATATTAAAAATAATTAAAATTCAAAAGAATGAATCCTACCCATTATCTTTTTTAATTCTAAAATAAAATTTAAATTTTTTAAAAAAAGGCCTCTCTGCTTGCGCTAGTATTTCCTTTAGGTACAAGAATTTTGTGACCCCATAAATTTGTAGATTAACATCTTCAAATCCTATCATGGACATCAACTAACCAATCTCATACCACAATTAATCAGCATTTTGATATTAGTCGAACACAGGATTTTGATCAAATTGCAGCCAACTAAATTCCAAGAGAAATATGTATTAAAAGAAACTATATTTAGAATTGCAATGGACATACAAAGTGTACACGGATTATACAATGACATGTAAACCAGAGCTGGATTGACACTAAAATTTTATGCAAAAAAATTAAACTCACCTTCATAAGTTGTTGACCCCTTCTCAGGAACTCAAGAGGCATGTCTTTATGCCATTGTGAAAGCCAATTGATTTGCATACTGCACACCGAAAAAAGAAATCACTAACTTTGAGAGATCATAAATATTATGAAACAAAACAATAGGAAAAAGAAGAAACCATCATATTACCTCTAGCGTTTCACAAGCAGCGAGGCAGCCGTTGCAACTCCACGGCCACATGGAAAGCAGCAGTGGCTAAAACAGGTACACCTGAACCTTTAAGCTCAGAAACTATGCCCTCAATTCTCGAAATCTCAGGTATAGATATCGACAATATCATTGCATGTAGCAAATATTGCCGGCAAGAATAACCAAGTGCATGGAGCACCCGCTGCACCAGTAAGTGAGATGTGCCCCTACGCCAAGACTCAAGGACTGCAGTAACTTTTGGCAGATTAGTTAGAAGACCGGCTGAGGCTTCCCTTGGAGCTGCCTTGAGCAACAAGACCACACATTCGGAAGCTATATCCGCCACATTTCCTCCATGGGATCTACTCAACTCTAGCAAGACACCAACATTGCTGCCAAAGTCCGTGATATCTCTAATGCCTTGTTGATCAGCACCACTTGCCTCTGAGGACACATCACCTATAAGAGCAGGTTCTTTTGAATAGATGAAGCCTTTTCTACCACTCACTGACCGTAAAAGGAAAGCCCTGCACAGGCCAAGGGTTGGTTCCAGAAAATCTTCCATATCTTTTGCGTATACGAACTCTAGAAGGTTTCCTATTTTCCTAACTACCTTCAGCTGAGAAAGTAACTTGGTTTCCATTTCAGGTGCCGAAGTCAGAGCCAGACATAGCATTACATTGTTGACATTTGCACTTGAGAGATCACCAAGCAAAAACTCAAAGCATTGTGAGACTATCTTAAGATCTAGAATGTCTGCAATTTTGATGTAATTAAACTCAATCAGCATCACAAGAAGCTTTTGTGCGTACAAGGGGATTGGATCTTCATCTTCAATCAAAGAAGGGTAGAGAGGAAGAAAATTTTTATTGGATATGGATTCCAATTCTTTGGACCTTTGCTCATCCTCAGATTGTTCATTCAGGAAAATAACCATCACGTCAAACAAAATTTTCAAGCACAGAAACCTGGCATCACCATCCTTGTTGCCCTTGTAAAGCACGGCCAAACTGGGGAGGATTTCACGGATAAAAATATCAGGGCTTTCAAGAATTACAAGTGACTCCTCTGACACAGACTCAAGAACTCGAAGAAGGGTAATCTGAAAGTCATCCCTGCCCTGGAAATCAACAGTAAATTATTTATCAGTATCTATGACATCATTTTTCAAAACTCCAAGCTAATAGACGTTTATTCTGTAGCCCTTCACATCAACCCCACCCCCTTGTCCATAGGATTCAAGTCCAAGACCACACAACTAAAAGGTGCCCGCTTAAAAATAATGGCATGGTTTACTAGTGATTCGTGTAAAAATGTCTGGTTGTCACTTGTTCGTGCATTTTAACAACCTATTACAACCTGGGATTACTTGCCAAGACACAGTACCTGAGCCAGGCAAGTTACATATCATCCCAAGTTCCAATCATTAACAGTTGGCTGATCTAAGCCATTTTGGCATTACTAATTTTTCATATCCAAATTAAACGTCTACCTTGGATTAGCCAGATAACAAAAGACTAGCAATGACTAAACAACAAAGAATGGTTGGGCTGCAGCCACCTACCTGAAATGTTGTCTCCACGAGTTTAATTAGATTTGCCAACTGCTGCAGGACCTGATCACTCACCACCTTGCGCTTAAAAGACGAGCTCCGAAGAAGATGGAGAACTACAGGAAACATATGAACATTGGTCTTTGGGGCAACTCTACTGTTCAGGGGAGATAGATGCCCATGGCGCCTTCCTCCCATCATTTGCTGTATTTCTCCTGTTATAGTATCCAGTAGACTGGGTATAGTAGATGCCACAACACACACGGATGCATCTAAACACTGCTGCACATAGTGGTCCTTCTCTTTTGCCAACCTGTCCACGGCAGAAAGTAACTTGGCATTGCAAAACAAATGTGGCAGCCACCTCCTACCATTCTTACAAAGAAGAGCAACAAAAACAAGTGCCTTTCCCTTCAACACCTCACTTCCCTGATCGATAAGAGACACAAGACCTGGGACAAGATTTTTATCCTCCATCAATGGCAGGAGCTGCCTGCCAATATTAGTGAACATATGACTTCCAAGCATGGCCATGTTTAAAAGGTTTAAGCTGATTTGCTGCTCACGTAGACTGCCTTTCACAAGAGCCGATGCTATTTCTTTTAAAGAGAGCTTCTCTATTACTGGTTGAATGCTAGGTGGATTGAAACGAACAAGACGGACTAAACACGATCCTGCTGTGAGCCTCATGCTCTCCTGCTTCCCAGCAGCCCTATATAAATAGCACAGGTTATTAATCATGTCCTGGCTAGTCAAACGAGCTGCCCAGTGCCCTGCTTGACTGCAAATATTTTCAATTGTCCTCAATGCATATAGTTGAGTTAAATCATCCTCTCCTTTGCGCAAAATTGATGACACCAACGAAAGTAATGAATTTGAAACCTGCCCGAGGTAAAATAAGTTATCAATCAAGAAAATATAAACAAAAGAGCAGGAAAGAGCAAAAAAAAAAGTTTTTTTTTAACTAAAGCATATACACATACAATATGGAACTCCATCTTTTACTCGTGTAAAGAGTAGAATTACATGCTGTACATAGTATAACAGTCATTCATTTCATCATAAGGTGCATAACCAACATATTTATTGCAATAACCTAGGAAGCTAACCTGCCACCCGGATGTGGACCTGATTTCCTTTGATGGAGACTCTGCTGGATTGTTGTCTCCAGCTTGCTCACTTTGAGTAGATATATAGAATAGCAACTCACCTAAAGCAGCCATAGAAAACCTCCTCACTTTTTCCTGCTTGTCTCTAAGGCCATCGGCAAGTGAACCCAAAATTCCAGAATTTGCCAAATCATCTTGAATAAAAGTTGAATGGCGAATCAGCAAACCAACCAGAGAAGCAAGTTGGACACGCAGAGCCAAAGCCTTGGACAGCCGAAGCATTTTAACAAGCATTAGCATGATAGGTCCATTGGTCAAGATATTGGCGGCCTCAGCATTATTGCTTAACATCTCAAGGTATCTAATTACATTCTGCTTCTCCCCAATGCTACTGTTCCCATTAAAAATGGCTATAATCTTATTGTTGAGTGCATCCAAATGGTCTTTAGAGATTTTCACAAAATCAGAGGCTTGCAGAGTGTCAAAAGGAAGTGAAGGAAGAACATCTGAATTTTTATCAGATTTCCTGCTGGGCATCACAGGTCTGACTGAGAGATCAGATGGATGCCAAAGAACCTGTGAAAGGTTATTCGAAGATTTTACAGGATCACATTCCATTGCAGATCCTGAACCTTCTTTAAATCTCTGATTTTTTATTACAGGACTGGCACTGGATGGGATTACAGCCACTTCAATATTACGAGGAGATGATTCCTGATCAAGTACTCTTGAGTCATCTGAGGCAGGCATATTAAGCACAGAAAGGGTGTCTGATTGGTTTGAGTTGTTTTCCATGTCTTCCACTTTATCCTGGTGCTGATTCTGACTTGAAAATTTGTTATCAGGTGTACAAGCTTGATTCTCAGACCCATCAGATTCATCCTGCGTGTCATCTTCAGTGTTCTCATTAAAGTCAAGTTCCATATCAGTGTTCTCAATTTTGACTTCAGAATCATTCTCAGAATTAGTAGACACCGGCCTCCGGTAGTTTTCCTTCTCATTTTCCCTCTGCAGGTTCATTTTTGCTATTCTCGAGAGTCTCAAAAGATTCACACCCCTGGTAGCACCAGAAGGATCCTTTTTTTCATCAACCCCTCTTCCAGAGACCTTTGCTTGAGTTCTGCGGCCACCTGGTGTACCCTTGACTGGAGTCTCATGGCCTTTTGTTCCTAAAGTAGAATTCTCATCCTGCTTAAAAGTTTTTTTAACATCCTTTTGACGAGATTTAGGAGTCCTATTTATGGAAGATTGATCACCATTACGTACTGACAGACATGGCTTAGCACATTGTTCTAGCATATTATCAAAAGCAGGCTGAGGAGGTAGAGGCACCACATTTAACTTAGTCCTCCAGAAGGCATGACCACAAAGTTCAGGCCACTGTATTCTTTCTGCTGGATCCTTTATGAGTAAAAAATTTATTAGATTGACCAAAGAACGACTAGGAGTGCCAGGTAGAGGAGGTGTCGGATCTGAGAGGATGGATTTTACTAGCTGAGTAAATTCCCTACCCACAAAGGGAGGCCTCCCAGCATAGCACTCATACAGAACACAACCAAGGGCCCAGAAATCAGATGCATATGAATGGACACCCCCCTCTTCAAACAGTTCAGGAGCCATATAACAAGGGGTTCCACGTTTTGCTTGTGGCAACTATACACGTGCAAGAAGGGAAAGCTACATTAGTGTTTTCATATTTTGTTGACAAAAAAAAAAGGAATTGGAAAATTTCTAATTAAGCTCATATAAACTTCATCAAAAGAATTTCAAATGTTGTGACAGATAAGATAACCTACTGAGGAAGAAGTTGTTTGTGAAATATCACTCAACTTTCTAGCCAATCCAAAATCACAGAGCTGCATTGTGCAAAGATACTAGTTCAGATGAAGAGCAAAACAATTAAAAAATTAAGAGAAATAAACAAGCAAAACAGCATGCCTTATACCTTGGTACGGCCATTCTCGTCCAAAAGGATATTTGATGGTTTCAAATCACAGTATATGATTCCCTTTGAATGTAAAAACCTAAAAGGAAGTGATTCCAAGAACATAACTTAAATAAATTAAACATGTAGAGACTTGTAACAAGAAATAAAATGAAGCAATTGAAGATTTCTTACAACAAAGCTCTAACAAGGTCACATCCAAGGTCGTGAATTGACTCTTCAGGTAGCTGCTTATCCTGCAATTCTTTCGTACATTATTAGTATCACAGTGCTAAAAACATTGTACATGTTCCACACCAGCATTCCAAACGTAGAATTTTACAATATAACATGATGCATAGAATCATTATAAAACATTAGCACCGTTCTAAGACCAAACAGATTAAGCATAGCAAATAACATATCCACAAGCTTCTACACATTAAGGCAATGCAAAGTTCACACTAAGTGATTAATACCTGGTTTAATAATGTCATCAAATTGCCTCCAACACAGTACTCCAAAACTAACCACAAGTGAGCAGAAGTTTCATACCTAAGCAGTGGCACAAGAAAAAGGAAATTCACAAATACATAATTCAGTTGTTAGCTGGAAGCAAATATAAACAGTTATATTCAGTCCCAGGAGAAATTATCTGATGAAGAATACTTACCACCAAAAAAATTTGAGGATATTTTGATGATCTAGAGTGTGAAGAATCTTAACCTGCATTAAATCGAAAGTTACATAACCTGGGCATATCTGGATTTGAATTCTCCGAACCAAAATAATGCCCAAACGTTGCTAAATCTGAATTTCGTTCTAGTTTGCTAACTGAAATTTATGTACTTACTTCTTGAAGAAGCTTGCTCTTCTGCGATTTCTCAACGCTCTTAATCGCAAAGTACTCGATGGTCTTCTTCTTCCTCCCCTTGTACACAGTCTGCAAATTCAACATGAATCGGATTAAGTAACTAACTGAAGTAAAACTGAGCAGTTCATCGGTGAGTTCAGATTTATAAATTCGACAGAGCTTGAGAAGCAATGTTACCGAGCATTTTCCACGGCCAATGGCTTCGTATATGTGGTACTGGTTCATCTCTAAGCTTTTCTAGGGTTGCAGATTTGAAACCAGAGGAGGATGATAATCTGTGAAGAAGAGAGAGAGAGAGAGAGAGGCTCGGATTTGATTGGATTGAAATGGGGCTTTTGTGGGACGAAAGGTCAAATTAGAGAGAGACTGGGGGAATGAGTGAGCGGGAACGTGAAATTTCATTGAAAATCAAAATCAAACGAGGAATTAATAGAGAAAAAGCGCATCGTGTTTTAGGTTTGAGTTGTAACCAAACAGTACATCCATCCGTTTCATTTCAAAATTTGAAAGCTGGGGGTACTGACTGCCACGTGGCCTGATTACTTTGCTATTTTCAATCTGTTTTTTATGTAGGCAAACCCAAAATTGGATGTAAATTTGGGATTCAAACTTTTTTTATAGGGTGATTTTATTTAAACCCTAAAATTTGCTCTTTTGACCCCACACTCATTTTAAACATGAATAACCTATTTTACTTTTGTACATAATTAACGTTAAGGACAAAAAAAATTTAAAATAAAAATTAAATTTGCTTACTACATCCCACATTAGAGGTGTCAAACGGGACGAGCTGACCCAGCACGGCACCAGCCCAACCTGTTTAAATGAGGTACGGCACGACACGAGCAAGAATATTAATGGATCATGCTCGGTACGACACGAAAACTTAGGCCTTACCAGGATAAAAAAAAATAGGTCCAATAGACCAGACCGACCTGGGGCCCGACATGGGCCAGGCTTGGCCCGAGTCCACTTCAAGCATGGCCCAAGCCTGGCGGCCCACTTAACGTTTTTTTTTCTTCTCAAATTAATTTGTAGTTGATATGTATTGACATCTAATGTAATTGTTTATATATATATATATATATTTTTTTTTTTTAATCATAAACATATGTTTGATGTCTTTTATTTTAGGAAAATTACTTGGGTCGTTAATTAATTAAACATATCAACTACAAATTAATTAAACATTGGACTTGATATCTAATCAATACATATGACATATACGCTTATCTTATAATCAAAGTAAGGCATTTCTTCACATATAAAATAATAATATGTTTGAAGATGAAAAGTTGAAGTGGACTTTGTGGAGTTAGACACTTTTTGCCCTCCGCCCCTTTATATTGTTTGGATGTTTGATTGATTAATGTTTTCAAGTAGTTCATCATTTCTTGCCTCTAATTATATTTTTAATGTTTATAATTTGAATTATCTATTGGGCAAAAAAAAATCAAGTGAAAAAAATTCAAATTAAATGGGTTAGTTCTTGGGCCCGATTATGGCACGAGCACGAGCACGGACACAGCACGAGTCCGGCCCAGCCCGTTTCAATATGGACATAGGCTTTGGGCCGGGCCAGGATTAATGATTTTACTAAATGGGCTAGCACGGCACAACCTGATAAATTACATGGATCGGCACAGCACGACACGAAAATGTTAAAAGCACAAGTTTAAATGGGACAGGCCGGCATGGCACGGCCCGTTTGACACCTCTACCCCATATACGTTTCTGCAACCTTAGTTAGACTTTGTTCACCCGTTTTGTGTTTGCTCCTGTGATAGAAGGGTAAAGTTCCCCATTGCCTTGAAAATCATTGACTGACCAAAAAGTCAACTTTCTTTGGTGTGCAAGCGTGTCAATGCTAGCAATAACAATTCTAGCAGATTTCATGAAAATAGATGACTTGAGCCTCAAGTTACTAATTTCTAAACAAACGATTGTGAATTTGGGTGAGGAATATCTCCCAAGTAAGTTCTTTTCCTGCCTCAGACTGGTGAGGACTTCACAATTTATCTTAATATAAAGTTGGTAGTTCTGGTCAGAATAAATAATAATAAAAGTGAATTGTTTTAGACAGAACTGCCTTTTATAAGACTCAGAAGGAAAAAATCAATTCTATGAAAGCAAAAAGAAGGCTGGAATTCCATTTCTGTCTGGATAGAAGCTTTTGATCCGGGCTGGACTGGATATGTCTATGTTGGATTAAACTGTCAACAACTTCAACTGCCAAGCTTCAGCTATAAATCGATACCAAAGCTTGATTTTGGCAGAGCTTTAATCTATTTCAAGCCCTGGAAGGCTTTTTGAACAGGCAGAACTGCAACCTCTTTAGTCTGAATGGGGTAGAAGTGGCTGGACTTGAGGATTACTGAGCCGGAACTGTATTATGGTACCTGTTCTACTTGGTCAGGGCTCTCCATAAATTTGTTGAGGTTTTCATATTTATGAAAACTCAAACTCTGCTCCTCTTGGCTGTTGCTGAACCAAATTTGTAACGAGAGGAATCTCGTTTTGAATGACTTATTTTCTAAGTCTGAGCTTGGAAGCCTTGAATCATGGCTAGCTTCTTCTTTGGCTTGACTAGGCTCTTAGTTGCTTCAATTTGTTTGGGGGTTCTCAAGGATCAAGTGATCATTTTGAGTTCTTGTCTTGCGTTGTTTTTTAGTTGTTTGATTTTGTTGTTGAATTGAGTGTGTTCTTTTCTATTCACCATCTCTTCTATTTATAGGAAATGTTTTCTAGAGTAGGGTAATTTTTTTAATAATGGGCGGCAAATTTCTCAAAAGATCTCTCAATTTTAAATACAAAGAAAAAGAGATTTTATCAGTTCTGGGAGATAGGCTTTCAACAGCCAGCTCCTATGGCAATCACCTCTCTGTATTTTGGAAGAGAATCTAACCCCTTTCTAATCCCAACTGCTCCATGTGAGAGCTCAAAAAATCGTGATGGTTAGTTTGATTTTCCAGTTTGAACAATTTCCTGTCCTTCTGCTTATCTCCTTTTAAAAACATGGTCTGCTTATCTTTTGGGAGAATCACCCGCTTTGGAGTAGAAACAATTTATTTTTATAAGAAGAGATTTGATCTTCTGGTGGCAGATTTTTTCAGAGAAGTCTCTTCCTGTTTTGCCTGTTTTTTATTAACTCCCTATCAACCCAGTTGAAATTGTTGACAATTCAAAGTTTTGGTTCATATTAGTCACGTGGGCCTGTCTTCTGATTTCTGGGTTTATTCATACCGAGCCCAGTTTGAAGCTACAGGCTGATTTCCTTCTTTTTCAAAGCCCAAGTTTTCATCTTTTGGATAGATCATGGACTGGAGCCTTCAATGCTTTGGGCTGAGTGTGTATTTTTGGCCTAATTTCAAAGAAATGGTGGTGGCTGCCAAAAACCTAGATAGGCTTTTTATTTCCTTATACTGGGTGTGCCAAATTAGTCTCAAACAGACTTATTTCTCAAACAATCATGTTTCTACAACCATAACAAGGCCTATACGCTTATATTAGTGAAGGGTGAGACTGAAGTTAGGGAGGACTTCGATTGAGGTATGAGTTAATTTTTTTGGCTTTTTTTGAGAGGTATGAGTTAAATTTTTTTTTTGGTTTTTTTTTTAGGGTGTTGAGTTGCATGGTCGTCGCTGCTTACGTTCAGCAAACCAATACTGAACGCGATAGGAAAATTCAGTGGCTATCCACTGAAACATTGAACCTATTTTGGTTGAATGTGACCGACCGTTAACTTAGGATACGTGGAGTTCCACTGTAAACTGGGAATGAATTCGGTATCTTATGACCGAACTGTACCAAGTGCGAGTAGATAAGTTAAGAATATAACACTTGATACTGAATTCGGGAGTGAAGAATATAACTACTACAAATAAGGTGATCATAATGACTGAAGAAATGCACCCATTATAGATACATTGACACTTGATACTGAAGAACAATTGGGCCCGAGGGGCACTGATGAAGGAGAGCCACATTTTTTATTTTTTTGTCGATTCCTATAGACGGCGCCAAACTGTTAATGCTAAAAAATGGATGGCCAAGATTTAACCAAACATAGAGATGAGATATGATAGTTGATGGCTGAATGTGAGGACCTTCGACAAATGTATGTGCCTTGGGTAGGCAGGCGGAGGGTGAAAAGCTTCCGTAGACAGTGGCAGGATGAAGATGAAGATGTATGTAAAAGACAGATATGCATGGTTCACCCTAATGAAATGGTTCACGGAGAAATATATTTTCATTATAATATTGTGTATTTATATGGTACAAAGGGTTTGACCCAAAGAAAATGGAATGGAATGAAGGCCTAAGGCCGAAGACCAAGGATAAGGTCGAAGACCATGGATTCGAAGGCCATCCTCCAGCCCATTTCTAAGTGGAGAGTAGTTTCCTTTTGTAGGTGAAGGGAAGCTTCCATAAAACTGTTTTGTAAATGTGGGACTCTTTGCATTACTCCTAGCTTGCTTGGTCAGTCATGGTATCAACAAAATTCATAGCTTCAGCCATATGTGAGAAAGAGCAAGTTGTTGAGTACAGCTTACTGTCCATGCAGTAGATCTCGAGCAGAGAAATGTGCTGTTTTTCATTCTTGATAATCCAAAACCATAGACAATCAGAAAATACAAAAGAGATAAAGAACTCCCTTCAAATTGGGCTCTATGATTCAAATGAAACTGGAGATAAGAACCACCTTCAAATTGGCGATTGAATAGTAGAAAGATAAAACACGAAACATGGAGATCGAGATAAAACAGACAAAAATTAAACAAAAGAAATTTTCATTTCATTTAAATATAAGCTCATTTTCTTTTTTTCTTTGGATCAGTGATCTTTCTTTACAATAGGAGTTCGAAACTACCCTAAATACTTAAGCCTTAAGCGGTGACCTACAGTCCTATTTTATCTCTATTACAATAAGAGCCCAGCTAAAGCCAGAAACTGCCCTAAGTACCAAAAACTTAAGCCGCGGCCTACAGTCCTACTTTTATATCTATTTTTCCCTTATCTTCTCTTTCTTCCTTCTCTTAGTCGTGGTAATCAGCAAGATTCACAACCTACATCTTTAGTTTTAGTTTCCATACTTCTTCTTTCATATGGTTTAACTCCAAAGTATCTTTGATCTTTTTTTTTTGTCAAACGAAATGGTGTGACTCATAGACCATGTCTGCCATTTTGCTTTCTTGGCAAGTTGGAGAAATATGTAGAAGAGGTTCTCTTCAGATATGATGAAAAATTTGTTGTAGGAGAGTAGCATTCATTGCTTCGTTTACATGTTCCTCAGCAACGAACAAACCATTTGTCACCTTTCAGAAATTTGAGAGAGCAATGTAAGAAGCAATTGGCATTTTCTTGATGAATGGGTAGCTAGGGCTTGGCTTGGGGTTTGATTTTGAATTGTGCTATGTTAGCCTCCACCTACCCATACTTTCTTCTTAA